AAGAAAAACTTCTCGAAAACATCAACTTCTGACCCAAAAGCTTGTACCTAGTACAGCAATAAGCACTGGTGTCCGTGAAGCTCACAGTAGTTAAGAGCTCTCCTGTATTGCTCCATCTGCAAGCCAGAGCCCTTCTAGCCAGCAAATAACAGGGGGTGGTTTTATATTTCCCACGTCACAATGTCAGGGCTTGCAAGAGGGGAAAAGCAGAGCCCTCGTTCCTGCTAGCAAGTTAAAACAACGTGGCCACGCTTTCAAACCCAAGTGCCCTGGAGGAGAAGAAAGGAAGTAAACAAAAGATTGCCAACTGATGAATCATTTGACGAAATACTGAATTTAGGAAATACCATACTTAAAAAAAGCAAAAAGTCTTGACTTATAAATGTCAAGAATAGCTCCACGTCCTTTCCTTCTCCGCCATCCCTTTGAGCAATATATAATTCCCATCCTTCAGCTGTATTTAAGGGCACCAGCTGGTTCTCTGCAGCAGAGCTAAGTGGTACTGGAAAGGCAGTGCCCCTCCTTGCCAGGCCCAGCACTGCAGACACTCCTTACTGTTTCTCATTGACTGCTACATGCTAGTCAAAGCTGTTTCTACAGTTCCTTTGCTCCCACTAAGAGAGGTTTACTGCAGTTTCTACTAGAAAACAAAGTACTTATTGAACCAAGGTTCAACAAGGACAATAAGGGTTCTGCACCTGGGGAGGAATAACCCCAGGCACCAGTACAGATTAGGGCTCGACCTGCTGGAGAGCAGCTCCAGAGAGGGACCTGGGAGTCCTGGTTGACACCAAGTTAACTATGAGGCAGCAGTGCCCTCATGGCCAGGAAGGCCAATGGGATCCTGGCCTGCATCAGGAGTGTTGCCAGCAGGTCAAGGGAGGTGATTCTGTCCCTCTATTCAGCTCTGGTGAGGCTGCACCTGGAGTACTGGGAGCAGTTCTGGACTCCCCAGGACAAGAGGAGTGAGGAGCTCCTAGAGAGGGTGCGGCCGACAGCAACTAAGATGATTAAGGGAATGGAACATCTCTCATATGAGGAGCTGGGCTTGTTTAGCTTGGAGAAGAAAAGGCTGAAAGGGGATCTGATTAACATATGTAAGTACATGAAGGGAGACTGTAGGGAAGAAGGGGCCGAGCACTTCTCATTGGTGGCCAGTGACAGGACAAGGGAAAATGGGTATAAGTTGAAACACAGGAGGTTCCATCTCCAAGTGAGGAGGAACTTCTTTCCTGTGAGGGTGACAGAGCCCTGGAACAGGCTGCCCAGGGAGATTGTGGAGTCTCCTTCTCTGGAAGTCTTCAAAACCCACCTGGATGCCACCCTGTTCCACATGCTCTGAGCAGAAAGGTTGGACTAGATGATCTTTAGAGGTCCCTTCCAACTTTGAACCTTCTGTGATTCTGTGATACTTGGCATCTTATCTAAGCTGCTCATCCAAGCAGCGCACTCCACAGCGCAGCCATACAACTCCTTCTCATCAATTCTTTATTATACACTTTTGGGGGAAAAGGAGAAGAAATATAAAACCTTTAAGGGATTGTCCAGTGCTGTGACTGTTTTAAAGTAAATGTGGCAAACGTGCTCATGGCTTATGGTGACTTTGTCACCAAAGTCCTGGAGCCCGTTTCCCTACCCAAACCCACCAGCACTAACCACCAGCCGGGTACCCAGTTCCTGCCCCTTCAGCCCTTACCAGGGCTGTCCCGAGCAAGTGGCAGCTGTAGCACATTTATAAACACCCTTGGCCTCTGTCTACTCAAGGCAAGTGCTCAATTCCGAGAAACTGAAGAAATTCAGGAGCATCTGATGTGCAAAGTATTCACAAATCAAAACACTCAAATTCACTCTTGCAGCAATAACCATGCAGATGTCAAAACAATCACATTAAGCTTCATTTTAATCTAGTACTACATTAATGAATTGATAAATACTGAAATGAGCAATATGCAACACAAAACAAGTGTTAGGGTATAGAAATAGTAGATAAAACAGTAGTCTCATGTTCATATATTTAAGCAAATAGTAGTAGAACAATCTTTAAGACTGTATCAAGATCAATAGGCTGAAAATCAGGGATTGAGTGAAGAAAATTGAGTACAAAATAATGATTAGAAAAGACACTTATTCAACCTTTTCTTAAAGCACAAGAAACAGACCATTTAAAGATGTGACTTATATTTCAATTTATTATTATATTTCAATTAGAAGGTTAAGTCCAGCAAGTGGAGAACCCTCAGAAGCCTGTGCTGGCCCAGGCCATGGAGGCCCCAGCCAAGTGGGAGTGCCTGTGGTCCTTGCACAAAAGGCACCTTCTAAGCACTGTCAAATCTGTGGTTTAATTTGGCTGCCAGGAGCTCCTCTAATTCTCAGAAGAAAAGCCAGGAAATGTTTTAAAGTGTGCAGAAATAATTTCCCGTTATTCCAGTGGCAGATTTCTGCAGGACAAGTTTCAGCTCTGCGGTGGGGAGCAAGGACACAGCTCCGAGGGATAAGTTCTGTCTCCTCACCCAGGTTTATTGGGAGGTGTCACCTACCACATCTTCCACTCCTTCTTGTGGAGGATGCAATGCAGCAATAGGGTAATGTATTAACATTAACATTACACCACTAAGTAGTGGTAATAATACAGCATGTCTCCAGTGGCTTTTCCCTGTAAACATTTCACAGACTCTGCTTCTCAAACAAAACTCAACTACACAAAGCTCTAGAAAAAAGAAATTTCATAGTTTATAGCAAATATGGAACAGCAAATAGTAAGTACATAATGTAGCAGTGCAAATCATTTTCACTGTGTAAGCAAGAAGCCTAATTTTCAGCCAGTATTACTAGAATAGTTCTGGTATTTTTAGCCAGTATTACTAGAATAGTGCGTAAGTTCTGGCACTTTCCAGGTGTTCCAGAGATCCCCTTTGAAAGGGGTTAGAAGGAACTCGTCCCTACAGTAAAGAGCAGAGCTGCGCTCAAGTCAGCAGCAAAGTGGAGGACAAGAAAATGAGTATCAAAAGGAGGGTTTTGAAAGAGTTCCCCCTTTTCCTTGAAGGAATGCTAATTCCTGCCTTTATTTTTATCTTTATTTTTAAAGAAAAAGGGGAGGGGCTGAGGGGAAAAGTTTTCAATATTGAGCACTCCACTAAAGCACACACTTAATAACCGAATCAAAACCAAAATAATTAACAATGTGCAAAATTTTGTACTTGAAGTGCAAGGTAACTACACTTGCTCTTCCTAAGAGAACTGGAATATATGTTCAATATAGCGTATGTTAAAACATGGAGAAGTCATGGTGTTAATATATATAAAAAAACCTTACAAATCTTACAAATCCCAACTGTTACACAAGGTTAACTTATCTCTCTAGCACCGAAAAGCAGAGACTTAAAAGAAGGCTAAGTTCAAAACATGAGAAAACGCACATTCCTCTCTCAAAATCCCCTGACATATTTGGACATAATTTATAATCTGATAAGACTTATACCCCTTCTTCATGATAACAACAACAAAGTCAAATATTTAAGAAGTTTATATAAACTAAGAGCTCTGTCGGCATCAAAACTCCAAGCATTACTCAGAAATACAAGTCTCTGGCAAACTCATTAAACAAGTATGTCCAGAACCATTAATTTAGGCAGTGTTGCCTTATATAGTCACTAAGGCCGGCAAGCAGATGATACAGAGCAAGGGGAATTGTTGCCAGTTACTGTAGACTGGAAAATATGAGAACAAACTCTCTTGCTCGCTGCCAACTAATTCCTCTTCTCTCTCAACAAAAATACTGAAGAGAAGCTTTTCTTGGCTGCAGCCACTTGCTCTCTAGTAAGGGGACAGAATTTCGTTATAGAAACATAACTTCTATAATAAGCATTATTTTAGATCTTCCTACAAAATGTAGAAAAATGAACATTAAGAATCTCCTCCCCCCTTCTCTCCAAGAGGTGGTAGGGGGAAAATCTGATTGGGAAAAATAACCATCTAGGTATTACTGTCAAAATCATAAAGTAACTCAATTCCCAGATGGATTTTTTTGAACAGTCCGAACTTGCCCACTAGCTTAGTTTCCAAATGAGTGAAACAAATACTTCCAATTACTGGATACTTTGCAGGGTTAAGTCTTTAATTTTCATGCTCTAGTCTCCTTCCCACCCTTTTTTTGTCCCATGGAGTCAAATGGACTGTAATATGGTGGCATGGGGAGAAGGGTAATGACAAAACACTTCGGGATGTCTTTCCCAATGGGAATTACATAGACAGGACTGACCATGAGTGCCTTTTATCTGTTGCACCAACTGGTCAGCACCTCTGTTAAAGTGCTGAACCTAAAACTGAATATAGAGTATCTTGGCATAAGGCTAGCTAGCCTTTTGTGGCACTTGCTAGTCTAGCTGTGCACCTCTCATGCCAGAGAGGGTTTGTTGGTTAACGTTTATTTGGCTATTTTGCTGGCCCAAGGGTGTGCTCGGAACCGGTACCTCTTCCAGCTGATCTGTCTTATGTCCTGACACAACTTCTGCCCCTGTCGTGACTGATTTGAACTCCAGTCCCACCCGTGCTACTTTCAAGCCGTTCTCGTATTTGTGCCATTGGTAAACATACAGTAAAACCTACTTTGATAGTAATTTACACCCCCACAGGTTTTAAAGCAACTTTGCAGAGGTTTTATTTAGACCATGATTCTCTAACAGACTGACAGGAAAAGGGACATCAAAAGCCTTGTTACAAACAAGCTAGGTGCTATCTACAGCCCCTCTCTTAACCATAAAGCTTATAAGGAAAAATCTGATGGCTTTGACCCGATTCATTCCACAATTCCAAGGTAATCTTTACTAATGTTGTTTCTTTTAGGCACTGAAGAAAATTATTCCACTATTTTTCTGGGAATCCAAGTTAAAGGGCAATGTTTTCCCAGATTCTCTCCTTTGCTTCTTAGTTCTTGCTTTATTACAGACTCACTACAGACTACTACATTCTCAACACAGAAGAGGGTTTTTCAGTTTACTTACAGGTTTCCTAAGGAAAAAAAGGGATAGTGCTCCAATTAGGGGCATGTCTCCAATCAGCGGTTCCAGAATAACCCTCATAGTGCCATGAATCTGAGTGGGGGAAGAAAACAACAGAACTGATTTTAAAACTCAATCTATATAAAGCCTATTCACGCACATCCTTTATCACAGATGAATATTACACAAAAGCATGCAGTTTTATAGCATCCAAATCAAAAAAGAATATACACACACAGGCTTTCAAATCCCTGTATGGTCCTTATTAACCTACACATGGCATTAATACTAACCTAATGAAAGTATTCATTCTTGAAATTACCTTTTCTTGTAGAGAATACTATAGATTTAAATCATACTTATTTAACCTTTAGATGTAGATAAATTATGTCACTATTTATAATCAGTAAGCACAAAAGCAATAGGTCACAACAAACAAAAATGCAACATAATTTCTTGTTCTTTATGGAAAACTATATGCTATTTTATCACAAAAGTAGTAAAAATTACTGTATTTCCAAAACAAACACTGAACTTCACCTGAATACTTTTCACCCCAGCTCTGCAGAAGTATCTCTTGATCTCCAGGTCAATTTCACAGTTGCCAACAAAACTAAAACAGGGGGGAAAAATGTAAGTGTTTACATATTAGAATACACTATTATATATTTGGTATGTCAGTCTACATACAAAGAAATGAAGATTAAAATACTAAAACTTCAAGTCACGCTGCCCCACCCCAAACCATCATTATCACAAAGCCTTAGAAATTAGGGCTAGTAGCTACGTTACCATTTTTTGAAGCACACATCAGGACACACAAGTAGCCTCCCTTTTGGCAAATAATGGACACTTCCAATACATCCCTCACTTCCAAAAAGCTCTTTTATAGGTCTCATCAATAGCAGGTGCACTCAAACCTGTTTTCAGTCTAATGCAATCTAAGACCTACTAGACTGAGAACCTATTTTGCTAATAAGGCTTTCTGAATCACTCACACTTGCAAGAACAGCTGCTTAGGCTGAAATTCAGTATGCTGGGCAATGCTGAGCTGGATAAACCACTAAGTAAGGTATAAGCCAAGACAGTTAAGCCCTTTCTGGAAGGAGGGGGAAGGCAAGAAGCAAGTTAGGAAGTAACATATTAAGAAAAATGGAAAGAGTTTCTCTGGGCAGTTCTTGCATCCAACTTACAACATTTATAGTCTGAAAATTAGTTAAAAAATGCTACAGCTGAAACACTCTAACCTTGGAATTCAAATTATGTAAACACATGCACTGACCTTACAACATAATCTGTTTGTGATTTGTACCAATAAAACATTTCCTTTAACACTGGGAGCTCTTTATTTACTAAATAGCTCCGCTGAATTACAATTTCAAGTTTGAAATGTCTTCCTTTACATGTTCCATGGAGCACCAAGGGTTAAATAAGATGTGGCTACAAACACAGGGTTTTCAGTATAATGTGTATTTTAGATCTAGAAACCTATTAATTCTGAATTTTCCTAAAGTTTGCTGTTTTCCAAAAGACATACTTAATATAATTTAAAAAGCTGTTCAGTGACGTTTAGGAGTCTGGCAGAATCTTACTCCAGAAAGATCTATTCAGTTACAGGATGGATTGCTCTCATTAGGCCACTTCAAGATAAATCAAAATAAATTAAACTACTCTCATAGGACGGTTACAAAATGAAGTTGAGGAAACCACAGTGCATTCCACATATCCATTACTTAGATCATCCGTAGTCTCCTGTGCTCTGTGTCATGGTCCTGTCACTGAGATCTCAGACATACCATGCCCTTAAACAGAAAGAAACTGTAGTACCAACAGTCTCACAGTGCCCAACACTGGAATTAATTTCAAACTATACAAAAAGTAATAGGGCATCCAGTCACTCTGCTGCATTGCACAGTCTGGGCATATGGAAGATGACAACACAACAGAGGCCTGTGCAGGAAAGACTGTGCTGTTACCATTAAGTTCAAGAACAGATGTATAATTTAAAATAATGTATTAAGAAGTTTATAATTTTATATACACACACATGTATATATAACAACAAGATGCAAAGCAGCAGCAAGATCAATTCAAACCTGAGTGGAAACGCTCAGCAGCTCATGGCATTTGAATTATTTTTGGTTATGAAGATAGTGAAGCAATAGGCTCATCTGATAAACTCTGATAACACGATTACAAGTTAAAGTAAAAATTGTATGCAAGGAAGTAAAAGTCAATAACTCATAACCTTGTTATAAACTCAGAGAAAACTTCACTTCTTCCCCTACCGCTCTTCAGTATTTGCCAAGTCCATTAAAACACAGCACAGAATTTGACTCCAGCATAGCCTAAAACTTAGAGGCTCAGTTACCAAGCAAGTTTTATACATTCAAATTATAATACTGCACGGATTTATGATCAATGTAATGTACCAACCACCGAGAGGCTACAGTTTAATGAGGACAGTCACATAAGCACATCAGTACAGCTGTACTTCGGCAGACCAGAGGTGCATTGAGCACAGCACGTTGTTTGTGGCCATTGGAAGCACCAGCACACCAGGGAAAAAACACTGCCCTTGGGGCAAATGTTTCTGGAGAAGAGCCACGTGGGAGACCAGGTTTGGGGCTATCTTCATTATGGAAGAAGGTCTAGTCTTTCACAAGGATTTCTTTAATCAGTTCTGCCCATTTCTACTTCTGTCCTCTGTAAAACTAATGGTAGCAAATTTCTCAATTTGTGACTTGAAATTTATTTCCGTGAGTTTCTAGATCTGCTGCCAAAAACTTTCTTTGGTGCCTCTATGTCTTTTTTTTTTTTTTTTTTTTTTTTCTCCTTTCTTTTTTCAAATGACCAAGCGACAAAACCTCTCGATATGCTCTTAACAAATATTTCTTCAGTCTTTTTTGGCCTTCTCTACTACTGTTTATATTTAGTTTTGCAGAATTTATGCTGTTTTTCTAACAATCCACAAACCAATATTCTGAGAATTGTTTACCACTTCATATATTTTGGCAAAATTCATTAAAAATGCTTATATTATTATCTATTGCTAAGCAATTGTTAATAGCCCATTTAAACTTGTTTATCTTTCCTTGCTTAAGCAGATTTCTGCACATCCTTGTCCTCAGAAACCAGACTTCTGATTTCACCAGTAGTTTGGATAGTGCTTGAGCATAAGGCTCACAGAAGGATTACAGCAGTTACTTCAGCGTGTTTACAACCTGCAGAAGAAAATCAGACAAACCACCCTAGTAACTTGGTATGGAGGGAGGTAAGGAAGGGAATAACAGAAAGCAAAAAAGCTTTCTTGGCAACTGTGATCATGAGATTGGATTTTAAATAGTCATTTCCCATGACTGTTTCATGGATGATCAATTAATCAAGCTGCCTGCAAGAGGAAAAGTAATTGTGTCCCAAGCAATGTGCAGCACTTGATTCAAAGGATTCTGAAAAAAGGCAGGCATAATAAAATACATGCGTGTGTGTATATATATATATATATAAATATATTTATATATATACACATAAATATGTGTGTGTGTATATGTGTGTATACACACACATATATATACACACACACACCCCTTTGTGGTCAGTGTTAAAGATAAACAAGAAAAAAACATGAAGATGCATAAAAATGAGGAAAGCTGATGAAAACGCTAAAGTAGCACCTTGGAAAGGCATTGAAACTATTTAAACATATATGGTTCAAAGCAGATGTCTACAGCCTGTCTTAAAAGGCCAATGGGAGAAATGGAAGCCACCACAGTGGAACAGTAGGATAAAAGAGACTGGGAAAATGGGAATGCTTGTAACAAACTCCCCCACCTGGCACATGCAGGACTTGGCTTAATGCAACTATTGCTGTGAAGCATTCTTAGGTAGTTTGTCTTTCTTCCCAAGGGTATTTGGGAAACAAAGACTAACTGCTCTGAAGTTAAAAACATTGACTGTACGATTCGAGGACCACTTACAGAAAGCTCCTAAGTTTATATTTAAAACTAAAATTAAATTAAGAATAAGCATTTAGAGATACCTACCTTCAAGAACAAGTACTCAGAATTTTTTCTCCAACAACTGAGTAATAAAACTGTTCTTTACAGCCTTGCTAGACTGAATTACGATTGATTCCCTAAGAAATAACTTAAGGCTTAGGATCAGTATATAATTTTATACCTAAGCCTGCCTTTTTTTCTTCTCCTCTCACTACTAACAGTTCCTAGAGAGGAACTGTTAGGACACATATATTTAAAAAAAAAAAAAAAAGAAAAGAAAAAAAACAAGCAGTAATGATTGATACTGGGCAGAAAGGGCATTGGTTTGAAGCTTATATAGTGAGCACCTCTGAAGGAGGAGTATCAAAGACAAGGTCTAATGCAAACTGTCACAGACAAAAACCAAGGAAGTCCCTCGATTGCCATAAGCCGTGACAGTCACTGCAGATTTCTCCTCTATTTGCTTTCTAGGAGATTAAACTCCTGGCAGCAAGGACAGACTATCAGGCTAAACGAACCTTTACCTGACTCAGCACTATTGTCGCTACTCCAAGGAATTTATTTCAGCCTTTTGGATTGGATTCTACTCCAGCTGCTATCACTTCTCTACACAGGCTGCAATGTAATAGACACATGGCTGAGGGTTTCATTCAACTCTAGGAAGAGGACATTGTTCCTGGGATTCTGGTAAAACCTATCATGCTTTTTACATTCATCTGCTGCACTTCATACAGATAAACAAGGAAAACAAAACAAAAACTTCATCCCACAAGGTAGTTCCCACGAGAGATGACAGCAATTCTGCTTTAGAAGAAAGTAGTGACCTTGAAAGACTTGCACAAGACCATTTCAACTAGTTCATCATTCACTCTCTTACTTCGATCTCTCTAATATCCCAGGAATGGTTCTCCCAAAGCAACATGCACTATGGCCATGCTGGACAGACCCATCTGCTTTCCTGAAGGGCATCAGTCTGAACAGATGAGGGGAGAACAGCTCCTGTCAAAGGTGGTGGAAAGACCATCACCAAAAGCAGCTTCTCCTTTAAAGCTGATCCTGTGCTTCCAGCCAAGCAAGCTCAAGGGACAGTACCGAGGGGGACAGCACCTTTTCCAGCAACACCAACCCCTGATCTCGCTCGCTCTCTTTTTCTCCCCCTCACAGAAACAAAGCAATTCAGTTCAAGCCAGACAGGCCCTGCTCACAGAAGTAGCCATAATGTCTGAACTAGGAAAGCCAGGAGGGGCTGCAGCAGATGATAAAGAGCTTTGAATACACTTGGGCCCAGCTCTGACAAGCCACAATCTTCAGCAACGCTAAGAATTAGATAAATTTTTCAAATTTAAGAATAACCAAGCTCAGAGTTTGGAACCGACCCTGAAGGACAGCACCTCAGAAGCCTGGTTATTCTCTTGGCTACTGGCAGGGAAGCAACAAGAAATGCCCAGGGCTGCTCTTTGCTCGATCATCGTTGCTGATAAATCTGGCCTCTCCACAAGCTACAGACATGCAGAAGTAGTTACTGTAGCACTTTGGCCGTGACTGTGAAATATAAAAATGTTGCTGGATTCACTAACTGTTCTTTCAAAATGCTTCTGTGACTGCGGGTAGTGCCAAGAAATGATTTCAGCAAACATTGTGTAAACCTATTTATAAACCTGTGTGAAAGGGATCACAGTGAAAGGGCAAAGAAAGCTGAAGTGGCTGATTGTAATTGCTCTGGCATTATTTAAGAGGGAGATTTACTGCAGTTGATCGTACTAGGAGTATGAGTACTTCAGTAGGCATGATTTATTTTTTCCAATACTGGATCTTCAAAGAATTTAAGTAACTAAGAGAAGAATTCCAAGCACCTTAAAACCTTTGTTTTATGTCTTGGATTTAATTTTTTTAGCCAAATTTTAATGTATAAGAAAGAAGAATTTTCAAAGACAGAGCTTCAGCTTTGGAAAGTATTTTTAAACAATGTTTTATTTCTTTAATAAGGCAGTCACAGAGTCAGTTGATAAACTGTCTCCCTCATAAACGCTCCCTAGAGTACGCAGTTCCTTCCTCCAGTCACACATAACTGGAAGCAGCTTCATTTGCTTCAGGAGATGGTTCTTCACAGTGAAGCTGTAACCCTCTGCCCACCAGCTGGTGAGGATACCCACTGAATCAAGCAAACAGCGGACACATTCCACAACATGGGCACCTCTATACACGTTAATAAAAATTACCTGATCTGAAGATCCAAAATGATCTGCCTTTTGTCCACATTTTCAGTGTACACTTTCACACCATTTATCCTCAGAGGCTGAAATAGTGAAGGAAGTTAAGGTTGGATCCTTCTATTCAAATATATATATTAAGCTCTTAAGTTAAGGTTAAAGGTGAATATACATGCAAATTATATTACATATTTGTGTCTGAAGCTGGACATTTACTACATGCCTTATTAAAAAGCTTGAAGCACAGCTTTATATCTCAATTATATTATTATATGCAATATGTAATTGATATATATTATCAGATATAATATCCTGTTATATCTCAAAGTTACTTTAAGGGTATTAACCTGCTATAGGGCACTCAGTCACAGTGCCCTGAGCGGAATTCAGTCAGAACAGGTGAAAAATGATCCCCAGAATTCACAGAGCAGTTAATGCATTTTGCTCCATTTTAATCTGTGTAACAGCAGATAAGCACTTACCTGTTGCTTAATACCACTTTAATGTTTTGACAGAATCCAAGAAGAGACTTATCAGATGTCACTGAGCAATATTTTCTGGGTAAATTTAAACAGAGTACATGCAAACTCAGGGCAAGATAGAGCCCCGTAGAAAAACTTCACAAGAAACTGACCTGATGCCCAATATCAATCTTGGTGAAACTGAAGGTACTCAGGTGGTTGTTTGCTCCTCGCACTGCTGGTTCTATGGTCTCCCGGAAAAGTTTCTCAATGAATTGGCAAATAAAAGGCCACATCTGTTTGACAGTCTATGAAAAATGGAAAGGAAAGAAAAAAGTCATTGAACAGACCTTCACACACAGTTAAAACACTTTTAAGGTAGATAAAAGATCTTCTGTAGAAAGTTTTAAGCATATAAGTTTTCTGTACAGTTTATTACATGATGGAAGAAGGGGCCTCTTTTAACCTACTGCCATAATGAAAAGCTTTCTGCATCTTTCAGCTCTATTTTTTTTTTTTTATTTACTGCGTTTGCAAACATTTTGGAAATCTAAAGTACTGGAGGAAGAGGAACAAGACAACACTAAGATAATTTTCTTCTTTTATCACATGAATGCACATGCAGTCTGCATTGATGTGCACTGCTGGTTAGAAGGGTAAAAGAAGATAGGTTTATTTGCATATGAAAGGAAGAAAAATGAGTTAAATGCATTTTTAAAATACATGTGCATAGTCTATAAATGCAAAAATAGTACAGTATTTTACTACTGCATCGGAAGGCTCTTCATTGTTCATTTGTGTTACTCTTTCCTGATTGACTAATTATCTTCTATGCACTTTGCATGAAAGACATTAAGAAAACACAAGTTACACAGATGGGTATCTTAATTATTATATGTACAAATCAAAAACTGCAAAATTGATTTATTTTTGGATTGTAGGTCAGGAAGCCACAGTAACTGGAAAGTGTCCCAGACAAGTAGAACATAAAAACTGTGTTTACAGCTACAATGACTTCCACGCTTTCACAGCTGTCATTATTTTAATGAAGTCATTCACTAAAGACCTTAAAAATAGAATCATGATAAATTAAATCTTTTTAGTGACTGACTGGATGAACTACAAGAAACTCCTATTGCATTAAAAGTACAGAACGTCAGAACTGTTTTATTCTCAAATTCTTGTGCATCCTCCTCTTCTGCTTTTATTCTCTGCCTTTCCTCTTCCCTTACCTTGTTGAGCCATTCTGCCCTCTCGGTATCTGGAAAATGGACCTAAAAACAAACCAAGAAAAACTTATCAAATACATAACACTTGTTAATGATGTCAAGTCATTCACGACACAGAAACACTTAATAAACTCCACACAGGCAGTGGATACAGTGACGGAGGCTTATTAAGAACTGCAGATTTTCAACGAATCTGCATTGTACTTCAAGCAGATGGAATATAAAGTCATCCCTCACTATGTAAAGGCAAGTCCAAACATACATTCAATATAGAGATCTGGAATAAAAGTATTGCTTTAATAGCATAAATGAATGAAAAAAATAGCATGCATAGCTACTATGCATACACTGCTAGTGCAAAAGAGCAGCAAATTGCCTTTTAATTTTCACTGGCATTTACTGTTGCACATTTGACTGCCAGAAACCTGACTGAACTACTTCGTTCATACAAGATCTTTGACAGCATCAATAAATTATGGTTAGAAATATTTTTTTTAAAAAAAGCATATCACAACTCTATCATAACCACTACGGTGATACAAGATTAACCCCCATCATTTGTTCCCAACTGTGTACAGAATATCAGGCAAAGGATTCATTAGAGTTTATTTTTCTGGGTCATTTTGTCACTTAATGAATGGAGCGGTTTTGCAGCATTCTATTACATTTTGTTTATTTAGAATTAATGTCCTAAAAATTAGACTGTATAAATTATCGTAGGTTAATATTTAGAAATATTCACACAAAAAAGGAAACATTTTGTTGCATCTGCAACACCACAAGCAGCTATGTTTATAAGAAAGCACAGCTAAGCAGAGCTTACGCCCACTTTTTGGCTTGCTAAGTTCTCAAATTGCTTCAGGTGGTAAAAAGGGAAGAGAAAGTACCAAGAGCTTGTTAACCCTCATGCTAATAAATATTTTGATATTTTCTGAGTCTGCAGACCAGAAATGTGCCACTTCTCAGCAATTAATCATCTCTGAGACAGGATGTCAGATCTTTACACCCCAACATGAAATTCATTGAGGAGACCAATGATGTCTGCAAAAGGGGAATGCAGGGCTTGTATGGGAAAAGGGCAGCACAGCAGCGAGCAGCACAGAAATAACGGTGCAGAGGGGGAAAGGAAAACATTCCAAAGGCAAAACTTCCCACTGTGAGCACTACAGGTATGGTAAGTAATGCAAAGCACAGCAGAACTCTGTACCCTAAATCAGCCCTGAGTTATGTAAAATAACTACAGGTAGGCTGGGAAAGCACCAAGAGCTAGAAATACCCAACCACGTACAGTAAGTTATTAATTTGTATTTCCTCCACCTACTGTGAAGTGTTTGTTAGGTCTTGCTCAGCTGAACACCCTTCTTTCTTTACCACAGCTATACATTTACTTGGCCTTCAGTGCATTGCAGCTATTGTGCTGTTTCTTGGGTGAGCAGTACACCAAGTATAAACTCATTGACTTCTACAGTTGCACATGTTAATAGGCAAAGAATAATGCAAAGAATTGCATCTTCCATTCCCATTTCTCATCCCATTTCCAACCTTACTTAATTCTATTAATTTGATATGCTCTTAGCTTGATGCATTAGAGTGCAAAAATAATGGCCATATGTTTTGCTATAAAAGTTTGTGAGTAAGACTGTGTATTTGGCATCAAAGACAACTGTTTGGGTAAAGTTTGATGGAGGAAAGTGCTTAACTTTGGATTATTGAGGGCTGACAACAGCATCCAGATGGCTGCACTGCAATTTTATGGCCAGAAACTAACTAGTTTTTATGGCCAGAATCAGACTGATGGGCAAAATCCGTTTACTCCTGTGTAAAAATATACTAAACAAGTATAATAGAAGGAGAAGGGACTCAAGATTTCAGCAAAGACAGAGGAATAGTTTCTGCTTTGCTGTGGTAATCAAATTGCTCATACAAGTTTGATAAATACTGCCTCATTTCCATCACTTGAAGCAGTTACTTATTATTCAAAGGAAAGTATCATTAGAGATCAGTGTTGCAAGAAACACCCTAATGACAACATTCAGCACCAAAAGCATAATACTACATGTTCCAAGAATGTGTTAATTTCTTACTAAAAGCTGTGCTGCAAAATACTCAGAAGCACCCCAAAGATGTGTCTCGAGAGTAAAGAAACACACAACAGCTTTTTCACACAGCTCCTGTGCTTAGTTCCGAGCACCTCTCACGTTTGCTTCCTATTTTTGATATGCTCACTATCAGAAACTCCGAATACGCTACTTCTTGTAATGATAAAATAGGAAAAAAAACCACCCAGGAATACAGTTCCTTGATTCAGTCTGGAATACAATAAAGCTAAAGTAACCCCCCCATCAAGTTCTTACTTCCATAATAGTGCCACACTTCATGGTTCAACTTCTCTATATGTGCTCTTGCAATGACCAAATGAACTCAGTTACCTGCACAGCATCATCTGCATCTTTTCTAAGGAAACAGACCTGGCTATTTTGACAAAGAATAATTATTTATAATAAAACTGCACAGGTTAGGCTCTTTAGGGTGGGAAATTCCCAGAAGTACATGGCAATCAGTACATGCTATCAGAGTGACTCTCTGTGGGCAAATCATAAGGTCGCCAACTTCAATAATAATAATGACCTCCATACTGGAGGTTTCACATCTCTAAAGAAAGCCTGGCCAGGAAAGTCAGAAGCAGTGAAATTACAATTCTCTTCTGGAAGGAACTGCAAATTGCGCAGCACAAGGCACAGAATTTAATAATCTACTTTAAAACGCAAGCTGCACAGGAGTTGTTATTATTTGCTGGTTCTCTCGCTGTAAAACATTTCTCTTAATTGACATCCTTGCAATCAGCCTTCCCTGTTCTTAAAGCTATCAGGCACTCTTTATGTGACATTTAAATGCTCCTATTAATTATTATGTAATGAATACCGATATAGTTCAGAAGTCCTGCATATTATTTTGGGTGAACCAGGATTAAAAAAAAAAAAAAAAAAAAAAAAGACACCCACACTGAAACTCTGAAAGTGCTGCTATTGACACAGGTGTTCCATAAAGTAAAAATTTCTGTGCTACAAACTACTCACTCTCTTCTGAGCTGCTCATTACAGCAAAGTTAAAGAGAGAAGGAAACACTGAAAGCAATTCAGAAAATCAAGAACATTGAAGTGCCAATCAGAACTCCACTTTTAACTTTTTTTTGTCTTTAAATCCATAACCAAATGTGCTAAACAGGCTCGGAAGAGCCAATCTCCAAAATGTTGCACTCCAGCAGAGTCAGGAAACGTTTTCTCCATAGAGTTTTCACAATTTTGCAGAACTAAAAGGCATTTATGGGTGGAAGTTGCACATGGGGTTTTTTCGCTGCCTTCCATTTCCCCATGGGAATAAACCAAATAACTCCATTTTTGACTACATTAAAAACAATGTAGTATAGTAATTCTGTTTAAGAGACACAGGTCTCCATTGACATCACTTGGCTTATGCTAGTGCTGAAGTCTCTTTGCGCTGCTTCCTTTGCTTGTTGCTCCAGATACAAATCTTAATCAATGCTAGTTTAATTATCATGCAGTCAGACAATATAATTAACTTTCAAAAAGCAAGTGTTCTGAGCATGTTATCTCACAAATATCTCTCTCCATGGTAGACACCTCTCCCTTCTGCACTCTTTGGAAAGCAGAAATAAAAATCCTCCTGTGTCAAAAGCAATTTAAACATCTAAAAGGGTATCAGGATTGGCCCTTGTAGTCCCTGTATCCATCACCACCTGAGAACACTCTACGTACACTCTACATTGACTACAGTATAAGCTGCTACTTCAACTGCTGAGCAAACATAAACCTAAAGCTGGATTGTGTGGGAAAGAAAACACATTAAAATTAAGTGATTCTTGGAATTAGAACTGCCAGATTAATTTCTCTGAACTCACAGCATTTCCAATGCAAACAGGTAGAGAAATTTGGGGCAGAGAATTAAGAGAAGGAATCCCAAAATACACAGAATTGAGAGTGTGAACAGAGTGGTATTTAAGCTCAATTTAACAGCTGTTTCCTTCAGCGTTTTCCAGTCAGTGAAGGCCTAATGGCATTGCAGGGGAGAGGATGCTGAGCAGGGCAAGGTGCTTCTTCCTCTCCGTGGAGGAACCAACTCCGAGTCCTCTGTTGTTCAATACAACTTCCCTACCTCCTCAGGAGCAGGTTACGGAGGACAGTTCCTTCCTAAGGAGAGATGATGGGGGAACTGGGAGGGAATGTGGAGCAGCCAGGTCTGATGGCCTCATGTTATTCCAGTACCTAAATAAAAATCAAGTATCTGGAAATTAAGGTACAGCACCATCAATCAGAAAGCTGGCTATCTCCAAACAGCTCTTTTTGAAGCAAGAGCACAGGCTTCTCTCAGCAAGATATTCACTCCTTCTGGAGGCAAATGCACTTTTTATTTATTTATTTATTTATTTATTTATTTTTTAACTGCCCTGTTACCAGCCTGCTCTTCACAACACTGCTTATCTTCAAACATACGAAAATGTAACTTGATGTCCTTTAGCAGCCTCTAACTTTACTATATAAGCATCTCTAATTCAAATAATGGGAATAGATCAAAACTGTCTTTGGGAAAATCAGTTTAATTTGGGAGTACAATAGCACTGATGTTATTTGAGGAAGGAAACTTTGAAACAGGATTTTTTTTAATGCTTAAAGATATGCAAAATGTTACACTTAAATCCCCCTAACTTGCAGGGCTTAAACCATTTAGTCGTTACAATATACCCAAAATGTTCTTCTCTACACAGAAACAACTTCAATTTAGGAAGGAAATTATTTGTCAGTTACAAGATTGAATTAATTTGTCCTGTGTTCTAACAGGAAACATCAAGTGAAAACACACGCTTTCCTGTAAATCAGCAAGTAGATGTATATTTTCAGATTACTGAGCCTACGAAAAAAAGATGTTTTATTTAAGTGCCTTTACAGTAACATGCTTCTTACCCATCTAAACTGCAGAGTAGCAAAATGGAAGAAGCAGTAACAGTGCTGAACAAGGTTAAGGAGAAG